AAAAAAAAAAGAAAAATTAGCTTTCACCTGCCACTTACAGATTGTTTGGCATCTTTATAGCCCAAATATCAAAGTATAAAAATTTTATTAAAGACTTTACACACATCCTGTATGTGTATTTTTTTAAAAAAATCAGTTTCCACACACCCATTAGCAATTTGTCCCTCCTCCCTACTTCATAACTGTGGCCCACAGAATCTTTGACCATACTAACTAAACATGACAGTGAAGCCCAGTTGCTTGTCAGTACCGGAATGTGACTAGCAGAACGGCCGGTTTTTGCTGGGGCTACCATATGACGCAGGAGGGCGGTTACTAGTAATGCTTCTTAGGAAAATTTTTTGAGCCAAGAGAAAATTTGGAGACATTCCCTTTGGAGATAGATTAAATTCAGGCTTAGAAAAGTGGGCAGAAGGGGCGCCTGGCTAGCTCAGATGATAGAGCATAAGAACCTTAATCTCAGGGTCATGTGTTTGAACCCCACATTGGGCATAGGTTTAGCAGGGTGTGGTGGTGCACACCTGTAGTCCCAGCTACTGGGGAGGCTGAGGCAGGAGGATGGCTTGAGCCTAGGAGTTTGAGGTTGCTGTGAGCTAAGATGATGCCACTGTACTCTAGCCAGGGTGACAGAGTGGGACTCTGTCTCAAAAAAAAAAAAAGGTGGGAGAAGAAACAGATTTTATTATTCCTGTTAAGAGTTCACTTAGCTAATGAGAGTCTGATGAACAAGTTTTGGAGGTATGCTAGAGGAAATGTCTTTAAAAGCCCTGAGTAAAGAGTCATGGACCAAGTTGGGGGCAGTTACAGAGGTCCATTTGGAAAGCTGAGCTAAACTGCTAGTCCATTGCCTGCCAGAGACATGGTTTAGGATTGAAATCCAAGTTAACAGGGTGTACTTCAAGAAAGTGAAAGTGCCACTTTGAACTGCTGCTCTTTGACGCATGTCAAGGTTCAGGAGAAGGGACATGTCATTCATGGGACGCGGGTGAAGTAGCAAGTGGACCGAGAATGAGTGGAAGAGGAGAAGGAAACCTTCACTGTTCCCACTGTGCGATAAAGTACAAATCTGGCGCCCTTCTCACCCTTTGCCCTTCGACAGGTGACCCTGCCCTCAGCATGAGCCACTGGATGTTTCATCAGCAGGCCTTGCAGGAGTACATCCTGATGTGCTGCCAGTGCCCCGCCGGGGGGCTTCTGGATAAGCCTGGCAAGTGAGTGCTTTCTCTCTGGGGAGGGGGGGTGGTGGCAGGGGAGGCAGGCGTGCACCTGAGGCCTGCTCAGAGCCCGACCTTTGACAGCCGAGATGTCCTTTCCATGGGCTGCTTGGTGCTCATGTCACATGGAGAACAGCACCCCTCCGAGTGCCACTGATCTGGCACCTTGGCTGCCCATCTTGTGCCCCAGCTTCCGTGCATCCCCCACCCCCAGAGAGGCAAACAGATCACAGGGTTGGGAGCTCTTCTCCCCAGACCCTTTTTTTAAAAAACCTGATTTAAGTAGAACAGGAGGCCGGGCGCGGTGGCTCACGCCTGTAATCCTAGCTCTCTGGGAGGCCGAGGCGGGCGGATTGTTTGAGCTCAGGAGTTCCAGACCAGCCTGACAGCCTGAGCAAGAGCGAGACCCCGTCTCTACTAAAAATAGAAAGAAATTAATTGGACAACTAAAAATATATAGAAAAAATTAGCCAGGCATGGTGGCGCATGCCTGTAGTTCCGGCTACTGAGGAGGCTGAGGCAGTAGGATCGCTTGAGCCCAGGAGTTTGAGGTTGCTGTGAGCTAGGATGACGCCATGGCACTCTAGCCCGGGCAACACAGTGAGACTCTGTCTTAGATAGATAGATAGATAGATAGATAGATAGATAGAAGAAAGAAAGAAAGGAAAGAAAGGAAAGAAAGAAAGAAAGAAAGAAAGAAAAGAAAGAAAGAAACAAAGAAAGAAAGAAAAGAAAGAACAGGATACTGGATTTTAAAACCCCTAAGCATTGTAAACAGATTATAGTGACAACAACTATTACAGAATAGATTAAATTATTGAGCTCAAATCTGAGATGCTGTAATAAAAGAAAAGGAGAAGTCAGTCCTGTTCCCTGTCACTCACCCTCCACACCGACCCCAAACCCACATCGTGCTATTGGCACAGGGGAATTCCTGGCCCAGCAATTTTTCAAGAAGAATTTGGCTCATATCTAGATATTTTGGTATTTTTCTAGAGAAATATATTAATTTAGCACTAGCACAGCCCCTGGAGAGCCCTTTCCAGAAGACAGCTGCAGTGACCGACTCTAGAATTACTGTTCCCACTGGGAAGGGCTGGAGAATGGGGCTTTTTAAACACGCTGCTGGGACAAACCATGCTCCCTCCAGCCACATGGACGACAAGGGGAGTGTGTGATTGCACCTCGGGCCCTGGAATTTGTGTGTCCGTGTTCGGGGGACGTGTGGGGCACAGAGGAGCACCTGCTCAGAGCTGCCTTGCCCTTCCAGGTCGCGCGACTTCTACCACACCTGCTACTGCCTGAGCGGTCTGTCCATAGCCCAGCACTTCGGGAGCGGAGCCATGCTGCACGACGTGGTCCTGGGTGTGCCTGAAAACGCTCTGGTAAGACAGCAGCGGGCTTCACACCCCTTCTCCATAGGGTCCCCTGGACAAGAGGCTTCCCAAGCGAGCAGAGCAGCCACTCAGATGCTGCAGAGCTGGCTCTGTGCACGTCCCGGGCGGACAGGCTGGGAAGCTCAGGGTCCCTGCCCTCCTCGCGGTGTGCAGCCTGTGCATGAGGATGTGACCGCGGAGGACGTGCACGTCCGGGCAAGCGCAGGGCTCCAGTGGGCAGTCTGACCTGTGGCAGAGCCGTTCCGCCTTCATCCTGGAGTCAAGGGCCTGGCCCGCCACTTCTATTGGTTCCCTCTCGAGCCTGCCACGGTTACTTGTCACTCTGAGGCCGTGAGTTCAGCAGGCCCGTGACAGCGTCTGCAGCTGACTCTGTCTCTCGGAGGTCTCAGCTTCCACGCCCGCTCTTCAGAGAATGAGATCCCTGAACCGCTGTGCTGCCACACCTCGTTCGTTCCCTTCATGGCGCTCATCACAGTTGGTGACGTATTTAATGCGTGGTTGTCTGCTTCCCTCAAAATACGCCAGCCTGGCGAGGGCAGGATGCTCATATGCAGCCAGTCCTGCAACAGCCTGGCACAAGGAGCCGCTCTGAGCCCAGACGTGATCCAGCGGAGACAGTCCACCGTGATCACCTAGCAGGGCCTGTGCAGGTTGTCATGAGCACGTGAGCAGTTCCACACAGCCCTGCTTCTGCAGATGTTTTCTCATCTGTGTCATCTGAACTTTCCCTGTTTCTTTTAATTGGGAGATATTTCAAACAGAAGAAACACAATGGCCAATAGACAGATGAAAAGATACGCAGCCTCGTTCTTAATCAGAGAAAATCTGGCTGGACGTAGGGGCTCATGCCTGCAATCCTAGCACTCTGGGGGGCTGAGGTGGGAGGATCACTTGCACTCAGGAGTTTGAGACCAGCCTGAGCAAGAGACAGACACCATCTCTACTAAAAATAGAAAAATCAGCTGGCTGTGGTGGCATGTGCCTGTAGTCCTAGCTATTTGGGAGGCTGAGGCAGGAGGATCGCTTGAGCCCAGAAGTTGGAGGTTGCTGTGAGCTATGATGACACCACTGCACTCTACCCAGGGCAACAGAGTGAGACTTGGTTTTCTTTCTTTTTTTTTTTTTTTTTTAAATCAGAGAAACAACCATTAAGCTTTTCCAAATCTTAACATTTCCCTCCGTTTGCCTCTTATGTACCCCAGGCATAACCCTCTCCTAAATTTGACAGGTATCACGCCTGCAGGTGTTTTTGTACTCTAACTACATATGTATCCATGAATAAATATACAGTTTTCCATGTTTTCAAATTTTTTTGGTGGGGATGGGTCTCACTCTTGCTGAGGCTGGTCTCGAACTCCTGACCTCAAGTGATCCTCCCACCTCAGCTTCCCAGAGTGCTAGGATTACAGATATGAGCCACCACACCAGGCTCAAATTTTTTATGACAGTACTTGCTGTACCAATTATTCTGCATTGCTTTTTTCACTGACCATTTGAGGTTTATCTGTGTTTATATGTGTTGCTCTAGTTTATTCATTTTAATTACTGTATGGTATTCCTAGTGGCAAAGTCTATTTGTCTCTCTCTGGTTTTGAGTTTTGGGGCGGATTTACTTAAGAAATCTTTCCGTACCATTTTTTGAGGGCAGCAGACCAAGGGAAGCACATGTTAAGCAAATATATCAGTTTGTGATGGGTGCTGTGAAGGGAATGAATGAGGCACTACAGCAAGTCATATTTTTCTCTAAACAGTTTTAAAAGTTTTGCTTTTTCCATGTAGATTTTTAATTCTCTTGGATTTGTCTATGGTGAGGGTTGGATATAATGTTATCATTTTTCCATATGATGGCCAGTTGACCAGCACCACTTCCTGAAGTCTACAACCCTTCCTGCTATAGTGTCCCATGTGTACCACACATACACACACGTCTCTGTGCGTGAGGGGGCTCTGTTTCTGGACTCTGCACTCTGTTCCTTCGGTCTGTTTGCCCATCTGCACTCTTTTAAGTCAGTCTGAACACAAGTAGGCAAGTCTCGGCCATCTCGTTCGCCAAAGTTGCCTTGGCTGTTCTTTGCCTTTTGCTTTTTCGTGTGAATTGTAGGATCAGCTTATCAAGTTCCACAAAAAAACCTGATGGGATTTTTATGGGAATTATACCAAGTTTCAAATTAATAGGAGAGAACTGACTTCAATATTTAAGCTTCCATTTATGAACATAATTTTTCATGTTTTCTTTCATGTCCATCAGTGGTCTTTTGTAATTATTTCCATAAAGGACTAGCACATTTTTTGTTAGATTTGTGTCTAAGTAATGTTTAGTTTTTATATCTATTGTGACTGGAATCTTATTTTCTATTATATTTTACAACTGGTTATTAGTATATAGAAATGCTAATGACATTTTTTTGTTAATTTTGTATCCAGCCACCTTGTTCAAACCTTAATAGTTGTAATAGTTTGTCCATAGAATCTCTTGGATTTTCTATTTGGAAAGTAATAGCATGTTTTGTCTCTTCCTGATTCATAAGAATTTTATTTTTCTTGCCTTGTAATGTTGGCTGAGATCCCCACATAGTGCTATTCTGTCTTGCCCCTGATTAATGGGAGGGCTTCTACCATTTCACCACTAAGTGTGATACTGTGGGGTGGTGGTAATTGCTTCCTGTCAGGTTAATGTTCTCCTCTGTTCCTTGCTAGGTTGTGTGTGTTTCAGTCATAATTTAGTGTTAATTTTTGAATGCTTTCTCTGCATCTGATTTTTCTTTAATATATTTCAGTGATGAGTATTCTGATAAGCCTTATAAGAAAGATCTAAAATTATATTGTTTTGCAGTGTTTCAGGATAATATCATAGCCTCATAAAATTAGATGGGTAGCTTCCTGCACCCCTCCACCTTTTTTTTTTTTTTTTTTTTTGGGTCTCTGAAAAAGTTTGTATATAGGTCAGAGGTGATCTGTTTCTTGTAGGTTTGATAATACTTGCCTGAGTAAACCATCTAGGTCTGGTATTTGCTTTGGGGAATGGCAGTAGCAGAATAAACAATTGTTATTATTGATTTAATTTATTCATAGAGGTTTTTAGAAATTCCTTCTTGAGTCAATATTGACAATTTGCTTTTACAAATTATTCAGTTTATCTGAATTTTTATGTTTTAACATGAAGTTGCTCATACTATTCTTAGAAATTTAAAACTCTCTCCTGAAATTAGGGTCCCCTTCTTCATTCTCCTACAGTAGGAGAGTCACGAGTACTGGGATAGGATTATGCTCCGTGTCTCAAACCTAAAGCTGCTCTTGGGTTTTAGTGATATGGAATAATATAAAAGAATATAAATATGACCTGACACCCTTATTGCATAATAGGACTGTGGTCCTTTTTCTTGATTATAAATGTAAACACATGTTCAATGTTTTAATCAGAATATATAAAAATATAAGAAAATTAAAAACAATCACATCACTGTTAATATTTTGTATATGTCCAGTTTTTGCCTATTTATGTATATCACGTCTATAAACACATTTTTAAAAGTCTGAGATAGTATTGTATATACTGTTTCTCACAATGTTAGAAGCATTGCCTGTACCATTAAACATTTAAAAGTACTTTTAAATGGCTGTATAATATTCCCATCTCCCAGGTACTAAAATGTTTTTAGCAAATATCCTGTTTTTGATCATTTGGGCCATGGGTAATCTGTGTGTGTATCTCTGATGATTCCTTATATGAAATTCTTAGAAGTGCATTTCACAGGGCAAAGGATGTGCCTATTTCCCAGGACACCAGGGTGACTAACTGGCATCTGTCCTCCTCTTTGCAGCAGCCCACTCACCCCGTGTACAACATTGGACCAGACAAAGTGATCCAGGCCACCACGTACTTTCTGCAGAAGCCAGTCCCAGGCTTCGAGGAGCATGAGGATGAGGCAACAGCAGAGCCTGCAACGGACTAGAGGACCCGGGTCCCCACGGCTCTGTGCTCACCCGTCTCCCCAGTCAGACAAAGTTTGTACGTTTCGATACATTCTGTGTTACACAAGCCTTAGCCACTATGGAGCTGTGGTTCTCTTTGTCCTTTCTTGTACAACAAAACAACACCAATGGCTCTAGGTTTGGAGAACACAGTGGTGTGGTTTTTAAAATTCTTTCCACCTGTCAGACCAAAAATCTATCAGCCTGTGTGGCTGGGGAGCAGTGCATGCTGGGAGGAAGCAGCCCCTCCCTGCCAGCATCCAGCCTGGACAGTCTTGTTGCGATGAGTGGTGTCTGAGTATTACAGCACCCAGAGCCGCTGTGACTCCCACTTGCATGCCACCATTAAATTGCCAGACAGGGTCCCTCCCATGGGTGGAAATAAGTCATTCCATGCCAAGGGTGGGATTTGGGTCCCACCAAAGTGAGTTCTCCAGAAAAGACCATGGTGGGGCTGCACCAGGTGGTGCCTCTCACCTCCCAGTCTGGTCATCTGCAAGGGAGAGGAATTGGGGGAGAAAGGTCTCCTCGAGTTGAGTTCTTTCCCCTCAACACAGGAGAACTGAGCCACGCGTCACTCCGAAGCCACACTTGGTGCACAGGCAAGCCTTGTTTCAGCCCAGGTGAGGCGACTTAGACCCAGGAAACCAATTATGAATGCAAAACGAGCCTCTCATCCAGCTGTGCCAGAGGAGGCAGCCCCCGGGGTCCCCCATCATGTACCGTGGAAACCCCTGATGTCCTCAAGGCAGCGCCTGCAGCCCATGGCCATTCTGCGTGTTTCCATCTTTCTTCCGCCAGACTCCTAGCCCACCCTCCTCCAAGACAGTGTTGTCTTTTCTCACCCAGAGTATTAACACTACTAAGTCTTTCACCTTAATTTACGACTCAGGATTTATTCACGTCCTGCCCACTCTAGGCTCACAGAAATAAAATCAAGTGCTAGACTAGCTGGCGGCTGCCCAGGCAGAGGCCTCAGAAGCTGGTGGTGGCAGTGGGGAGCACCACCCGTGTGCTGGGCCCTGGCAATGCCTCTGCTGCCCGCCACGGAACCCTTTCTCGGTCACTGAGGGGTCGAGTTGGGTCATCTGTCCACTGCTGTGGTCACAGCAAGCCCCATGTCACTGACCCAGTTTTTATGTAAGTGGCTGGGGGCAGACAGGAGCTTAGAGATGCAGCACGAGGCTTTTCTCAAAAAAACTGGCCATTTGCTGCCTCTAATTCCCTATTGCTTTGGTGTATTGGGCTACGTATTTATCTCCTTGAAATAATAAAGGAATAACATTTTCTATGATGTCTCTTGTGATCTGTACCAAGAAAATGCCTTCAGAATGCTCAATGTTAAGCGCTACTGAAGGTTGTTCATGGGGTGGCGAGTCTCCTGTGTGAGATTCCAGGCCATTTGTGTCGGTGATTACAAAGAGGTATGACCTGAGTTCTGTCCTCACACCGTGTCCTCGTTCGAAGCGGTGGACCTAACAAGGAGTGGGGAGAGTTTTCCAAGCTCCCTGGAGCAGATTCAGTGTGCTTTGTCCCGGCTCTCCACACACTGCGTTTCATGGTCTGTCTCCTTGTCTGCTTCTGACCTATGAGCAGTGGGGACTGTGCCCCCACAGCATTCAGCATGGGCGGGTGGACGTCCTGGCCGGAGGCAGGGGCTGTCACAGGGACTGATCGGAATCCTGTGGTCACTTGGCTTTCCCCCTCATCTGGTGGGAGACCCTGTCCCAAAGGAGACCAAGAAGGTAGGTACCTTGTGGCTTGATACTCCTAGAGAGGTGAGAAGTGAGTGTCCTCAAAGGACACCCAAATCCACCTCTGGGAATGTAATTCCTGCCTCCTGTGCTATATCCGGTCTGCAGAGCAACACACTGCAATGTATCCTTTCCCTCTAACAAAAGGCAAAACCTCTCAGCACCAGAAGCCTCAAGATGCTGTGAGATTAAAGTAATAATTGGTGTGGTTAAGAGACAGGGACTGCCTTAGTCTGACCTGGCTTTATACCAAGGAGGGGAGATTTGAGCCGGGCCCATAAGGGTAGGAAAGTTCGACTAGGTAGAGGAGTCGTGTTCGTGTACTGGTATTATCTCGGGGGAATTTACACTGACATATCCATGAGACTTCCTTTTCTGGAGGGTTTCCTGACTTAAGCAGCCTTCAAGGTGGGTCCTGGAGATAAATTCTCAGATTATGTGGATCCTTGAGCAGAAGACAATTACGTAGCCTTCCAGGAGGGTCACCCCAAATATTTTCCCTTATCAATAAATGCAAAACTACTACAGATCTCTGTATCCAGACAGGCCCAGAGAGGCCCCAACTCCCCCCTTGGAGCCCATCTCAGGCCCACCCTGAGTGCCATGAGTGGGGAAGCCTGCCAGACCCTGCTGGGAGCAGAGGGAGCCTCGTGGAGCAGCAGCATAAACTCCCCTGAGATAACAACACACATCAACAATATCCCTAGACTGCCCTCTCCTCATGGTGTCTGAGCATTCTTTCATGGCCAGGATGCTTTCCAGGTAATATTAGTGGCAAATGACAAATGTACTTGGTTAGTAAAGCTTGGACCAAACATTCTAGTCACCCACATGCACTGCTCGGTGGCATTCATTGCCTCTAAATAGGAAGGAGAGCACAGTATGATTTAAAACACTGTTGCACTGGACAGAAAACCTGACCCAAACTGGCTTAAAGCAGAGGAAATGTGTCAACTCCGAAACCGAGTCCAGGAATTAGGTCGGCCATATGAGTGGCTTCGGAAGGTTTCTCGCCCTCCGTCTCTCTACGTTACCTCCAACCTCAGGCTCTCTCCACATGGTTAAAATGGCAGCAGCAGCCCCTACATCCTCTTGGGTTAAGTTCTGCAGACAAGAGCACCTGATACCACCCCAGCCTGCCTTCCCAGCAAGTACCGTTGCACTTCACTGGCTTTGATAAAACCAAGTGCCTTTCTGAGAAGCAATCCAGTGGCCAGGAGAAGACAGGGCACTGATGGTCACATGCTTCTCCCACACATGGGAAATGGGGCTTCATCAAAAGCACATGGTCCTAAGAATGGGAAGGAATGACGCCCCAGATGCAAAGTAGGGTTGCCAAAGTGGGGATGGATGCTGGAGAGGCAGCTGGCCTCATAGAGCACAGAGGCAGCTGTGCTCTGACCGTGGATGATCACTGTGCTAGACACCCACCTGTGGGGGCACAGCTGGCGTCCACTCCCCTCCCACACTGTGGCAGCCCATCGTCATCTACCTGTCTCAGTAGTTTGTCCAGGTCGGTAGTTACCAGGCCGAAGCCAGTCAGCTTGTCATAGCTTTGGCGACTGATTCAGAGCCAAGTGTGTGATTGAAAATAGTCCAAAGAGAGAGAAGTCTTAGACATCTGATGGTAGGGGAAGTGCAGCTCTCTCCTATTAGGGAAGGTAGAATGTGTGGCCTGGAACTCCTATGACCATTTTCCTACCCAGAAGGAAGCCGGCCTGAGAAACCAACACATGCACAGACCCATAAGAGACTGAGAAACATGGCCTGATCACACAGCTCCTGAAGCCCACGTTGCCTCTGATTTTCAGTTACATGAGCCAGTCTGAGTTAGATTTACTACCACTTGCAACCAAAAGCATCTTAATACAGTCATGTGTCACTTAACAACAGGGGATACGTTCTGAGAAGAGTTAAGTGATTTTGTTGCGTGAGCGGCACAGCATGTATTCACACAAGCCTAGATGGGATAGCCTACTGCACACCCAGGCTGTACGGCATAGCCTGTTGCTCCTGGGCACAAACCTGCGCAGCGGGTTACTGTACCAAATACTGTGGGCAGCTGGAACACAATGGTAAGTATGTGTGTATCTAAACGTTTCTATACACAGAAAAGGCACAGTAAAAATATGGTATCATAATCTTACGGAATCACCATGTACATGCAGCCCATCTTTGGCCGAAATGACATGTGGAGCATGACTGTATCTACTAAACTTTACCCCAGATTAGCCACAAGACCTGTTGCTTAAAAAACGCTGACCACCCTCGCCACATCCACCCAAACAATAACCCCTTAGAGTCCCTCCTGGTTTGCTGCCTTTCATTTGATCCCTGACTCAACCTCGTGGGAGAGGCAGGTGTAGGTATTTATCTGCATTTTACAAGTGGAGAAACAGGTCAGAGAGCTTAAGTGAATCATCCAAGGTTTCCTAGCTATCAAGTGGTGGAGTCTAAAGCTGAGCCCAGATCTGCTGCCTCCAAATCCCATGGTCTTCCCCCACCCCAGGCCTCTGCAGGTGGAAGGGGTGGTCTCGGGTACGGGGCCAGTGGTTAACGTGCTTGGGTTTACCTCCAGGCTGGGTGACAGGCCCTGAATGCCAGCCCCCATCTCTCACCAGGATGGGGATGGTGACAGCGAACAGCAGGGGCAGGCCCCCCACCCTTCTAATGGTTTGCCCGCTGTCTGCCAAGTGCGTGCCACCCCAGAGCAGAGCGTGACGCCGCGTGACTCGCAATGAGGCCATGGTGAGTCAGTCTTCCCGGGAGCTGACCAGAGCCCTGACAGCAGCCAGCCTGCTCCAACCCGGCCCAGCCCGTCTGACCGGTTCCTGGACATCCTCTACCTTCTCTTTCACTGGTGCCCAGTAGCCCCCCTGCCTCTGCGGGGCCTGCCGCTCCTCCCTCCTGCTTCTCTGGCACATCCAAGAACAAAACTAGGCAGGGCGGGGGACTGAGCTCAGCTTAATGGAAACTTTCCCTTACCCTTGGCTCCCCACCAAAGAAACACAGCTCTAACAAAATAAAAATATATGCACTTTTTGAAATAAACTATTTTAGAATAGTTTGAGCTTGACAGAAAAATTGCAAGGATAGCACAGAGTTCCCATATACCCATCAGCTTTCCCAGGGGTTAACTTTTTTACATTAATGGGGCATTCGACGTCACGAATGAACTGATATTGATGTGTTATTAACTGAAGTCCATACGTTATTTGAATTCCCTTAGTTTTTACCTAATGCTCTTTTTCTGTCCGAGGATCCCATCCAGAACATAGTACATTTAGTTGTGTCTCCTTAGGTTCCTCTTGGCTGTGACAGTTTCTCAGACTTTACTTCTTTGTGAAGACTTTGACAGTTTTTGAAGAGTACTGGTCAGGTATTTTGAGAATGTCCTTCAGCTGGGATTTGTGTGACGTTTTCTCATTAGACTGGGGTTATGGGTTTTTCGAGGAAGACCACAGAGGTAAAGTGCCATTTCATCACACATCAAGGGTACACGCTGTCAACTTGATTTCCATGTTTATGCTGGTGTGTGCCTTGGTGACCCAGCAGCGGCAGTGGGTGTCGGGTTTCTTCATAAGGTTACTCTTTCCCCCTTTCCATAATGTGTCTTTAGAAGGAATTATTATACGATGCGCAGCCCACACTTAAGGAGCAGGGAGTTCTGCTCCGCATCCTTGAAGGCAGACTATCTACATAAATTATTTGGAATTCTACATGGGAGATTTGCTTACTCTCC